TTCTGCTCACAGGGGAAAGTTTGGAGTTTGAGCAGATCCATTTTGTATGTAGTATATGTTAGAGTTTTATATATAATTAAGATCATAAAAAGTGTTCTTTTGCTTTAAAATAAGTTTGAAAATACTACTGTGGAAAACTGCTTCAAAATATATTTCATTCAGTTATGCTAACATCGTATAAGAAACATTTCTGTCAGAACAGGTTCTCACTATTGTGTGATACCTACACATAATGTCAATGACGTACCTCAACTGGAAGTTTACAGAAGACTTTTGTCTTCATTAGTTATATCAAGTGATATAATTCTAAGTTTTTATGTACATTTGTTAGGCTAGAAGGACTTTGAACGGAATAATACAATTTTATCATTAGCTAAATACTATGACCAAAGAACGTTATCAAATTTTAGACCAACAATTAAAAACAGAGAGGTAATCCTTTTTAATGAAATGAATTATTTTAACATATCTCCTTTTAATCTTACATGTTAAATAAAAATAATCACTTTGAAAATGAGACATACTTATAATTCTGTTCCCTAACTTTAACTCTAATTGTATTTATGTTGTAAACCAAGTGAAAAACATACTTTAGTAATACTTAGTTAAAAAAAAAAAACACTTCGATGAGCACCTTAGAACGAAAATATCATTACAAAACATTATTATTTAAGAAAGTGGATGCCAAGACATAGTCTCTCTTATCCTCTTTGAAAATTATATCAATACAGTCAAGCATTTTCAAATGCTGTCAGATTTAAAGAGTACCCAAGAGTTCCAATATTGAGGAACTTAAATTTTTTTGAACAAAAGAAACTGCTCTTTTTGCAGCCCAAGCAGCCACCAAAAATTTATTTTCACAATCACCAGAGGGCGCCAGTGTCCGCAGCACAATTGGTGTAGGTGTACTCTAACCTTCAGGTGATACTTGAATTTGGACACTGCCAAGCTAAAAATGCCTTGAAAAAAAGGAAATTGATAACTTCTAAAAAAATATATTTACATTCTGTAACACCTAGGTAATATTGGACTGTTAGATAAATACGAGAGTTCACTGGCCCATTTCTGGGTAACATTAATTTAACAGGATCTTATTAATATTTCTGAATCAGGAATTGAACGGATATCACTTTTAACAATGAATAAAAAGAGCATTACTAAAACTATTAACACTAACAATTCATTTAGCACCACGTATTTAGCACCAGAATCAATATCGATAGTTCACACTTAGTAAAAACTTTAACTGAAAAGAACCTCAAAATGGTAACAAGTATATGGTTGTTGTAATGCATTTTCAGCACCATTAATGAGTGAACTGTTAAACTTTCTAAACTTTTGACTGACCTCTCATAAGTCAAAATTATATCATGGCATAATTTCTAAAAATAATTTTGCATGTGCTTAAATATGTCTCTCCCCACACAAATAATGACAATATTATATATATATATATAAAATATTGTTATATATATATATAAAACATATATATATATATACACAGTTGTTTATATCAACTATATATATCAAATATACTGTTAGGCACTGATAGAAATCTAACTTTACTCTCCCTAAACACTTTGGTAGGTAAAAGCTTCCATTTATGTCAAAATTTGCATCCTTTGATACTGAGGAACACAGGGAATGGTGTTTTACAAAGGGGAGAACACAGAGCACAGGCTGACTGTTACTTTTCCTTCCTGGACACATTCAAATTGTCTGTGTAGCTTATATATTCATTTACTAGCAGGGTATGAAGAGAAGACACTTCAGCTGGTATAAGTGTATCAGATCTGCTTTTGTAGATGTTATAAGTTGATTTAACACAAGCATGTATTAATGAGAAAAATGCACACTGTTTCAGTCCAAATAGTCTGAGTAAATCGTACTGGGTCAACTTGCCTTCGTGTTTGTTCAGCTCTGTGCTAGAGCTGCACGGATCTTTTGAATGAATGTTTCCACAAAGGTTTCAAGTGAACGGTATGGCGCTGCCAAGTGAAGCTGGTAGGGGAAACCCTGACGGACCACAGAAATCACGACGCTTAGGCTACTGAACAGAAGCAAAAATGGTACTAATAAAAATTGTTTCCACCACATTTTAAAAGCAAACTTAATCTGTCATAACCAGCAACATTAAGACTGTGCCTACACGACTTCAATACAATTCTGTAAAGAAGTCCATCGGTTTAATAGTTAAAATTGTCATTTTTCCTGATGACATGGAAGCAAAAAAAAAAAAAAAAAACCCCCCAAAAAAAAAAAAAAAAACAAGTCCTGCATTGTGACAGAGTGTTTTCTTTTTTACTGTATAAAGGGTGATCTGAAAACTCTTTGCCATAGAGAGAGGATCTGGACTGTGGAATGTGGAAAATATGGAGAATACTCTTTCTTTTGAGTGATGTGTTTTGAAATGAAAACCTCAACATTGACTATTTAAAGCTGCTCTTAAGAAATATCCGATACCCAGACTCTTTCCGCCCCTGGGAATTACAGCGAGAAGGAGCCATCCTAGCACCATGGTTGAGTGCTTTAAAAAACAGAGCACACGGTGGATATCAGCAAATTTTCATTTGCTTTTGCCTGGAAAATGAAACATTTCACATGCCTACCTTACGCTACTCACTTTAAAAAAGTACACATAGCGTAACAAAAATACCCGTTATGTTTTCCGCTAAATTGTTCAGTTACAAATAAATGCATAGCTCTAGTTGTGATTTGGAAAGGACTGTGGTGTAAGTTATTCATGCCTAGATCCTCGGTCTTAATCTGGTATGTTTGATGACTTATCTGGATTTTTGATGCATTCAGAGCTTTATATTTAAGAAATTTTTTGTCTTAGTAAAATACAGAAAGGAGGGAATCCCTTAAATTGTTGCAATTCTACACTTTTTAGTTAATTCTAAATATATATTCACAGACACGTTTATTAAACATGTACTGCATTATAGGCACTCTATAAGAGTTGGGATGAGAATCAAACAGTTTCTGCCAAAGAGAAGCTCATAAAACTTAATTTTTTCCAATAAGTTTCACAACATTAATGATGCTTTTACTATTCATAAATTTGCTATTAATATGGTAACTTTAGTCTCATAGGAACTTCTGTGAAATATGTAGCAGATATCATTATTCTTTTTCAGAACTGAGAAAACAAGCCACACAAGCAATCCAGCAACAGGACTGGAACTGAGAACAGTCATCTTTGTTTAATAGTACTTTTGCTACTTCTAAGAAGAACTCTAGGGAAATGAAAGTTGGAAATACTTTGTAGAGAAAGCATGTAAACATCCCACTAATTAGCTTTCTCTCCAATTGCCCATAGCTAGATAAAAGTTAGACTGGGGCTTGAATCTTACTTACAACTACTTCTGCACTCCAGTTTAGTCTCCAAAACATTTATTTTTAATACAGTCTATGTATGTGCCCACAAAAGCAGAGTAGTATGATATCAAAAACTTTTGGTCACCACATTCAATTTGTAAAAAGGAATCAGACCAATTGTTTGTCATCATGCAAACCTAAAACTCCAGATGGTGGATTTTTCCCTCATTGACTGGATTTAATTGTCAACTTTCAGTGCCTCCGCCCTAAGAAACTGCAAATGTGTAGCGAATTTTAAACAAGTAGCTTCCTTCTGTTATTTGCACTCTGGAACTAACCCTGTTTGCTTATGCTGTAATTCTATGGAAGCATTATAGAACTTGTGAACACACACACACACACACACACACACACCATCATATAAGATGTCTCGACCCCGATGTTGAATTTTTCTAATAGCAAATTCCTGAAGGAGGAAACATTGCATTTCCAAAACCACATGAGTGAAATTGTCACAGTGACTTTGATTTGATTTCCACAATCCAACTTAATGGAGAACTGAAAAATTATTCTTCTATGTGGACACGGAATTAAGCTCTGCTAAGTAGTCCTTAGCAAATCACCTGAAGAGGGCCACTTTGCCAAACCCTAACCGTGCTGTGCATGCAGGATCTTTATGATGATTGGAGGGATGCTCACCAAACAATGATGTGAAGAGACTCAAGTGTCGTTGGCATCTCACGGGTCTCTGGCACCCTTCACCCTCTGCTGACAGGCCTCAGGATATACAAGACTCTCCGGATAAGCCCTTCTGAAGCTCTCACCTGTAATTTTTTGTGCAGTGACCTGATCTCTGTGACTTTTCATACCTGTCTCCTAAATCTTAATTCTCCTGGGCTTTGTCAGGTTTTTCAGCGTCTTGCCTTCTGCTTCCGAACTCACAACTACTTACTCTGGTACAGTAATCCCTGGGCAGTTCATTATGTTCAGTTTCTTTTAGTTCCAACTGGTGTAGCCACATTTTCATGCTAATCAGAAGCTTTTCATATTACACAGTGTTCTCATCACCTGCTTCACCTATAGGTGACCATTGTGGCATCTAGTTCCTCAAACTTACACTGACATCAGTTTGTTAAAAAACTGTAATTTTGCAGCAAAATCTTAAACCGCATTGTTTCCTGAATATTTTTTGTGAGCTTCTTGAAGGCAGGAACTGTATCTCATGATCTTTGCATTATCAGAACATAACTAACAGAGTGCCTTGCACATAGGAAGCACTCAACACATGATTACTCATTCAATAAAAGAGATTAAGCAAAATGCATGATGTAATACATAAGTTGAGCATATCCTTTGGTGAACCCAAATAAGACAAGATACCTCCAGAATAAAATCCTTGGTTGCTTAATTAAATTATTAAGCCCAGATATCACTGAATGTTACCTCGTAAATTATCACTCTGTAGGTATTATAGGAACGGGTGCTGAAGATGTCCCGCCACCTCATATATATTTTTAGAATAGTGTAATTTTAAATTTCCCTTAAGTTAACTACTGAATTACATTATTGCCTGTGTTACATCATCTATTACATGTCTGTGCATGTAAATATACATATATATGCATGTGTATATGTATATCTACATACACACACATGAAGTACAGGTCAAATATATATATTTTATTCCTCACAAATGTAACATCTCTCCTTTGGAAAGTAAGTTTTAGAACTGGATGTCTCAACTATGTCAATACTACATAGACACCATTTTAACTTGGGCTTAGAGGTCAGAAGATAGAAATGGATGTTTTGATTACCTCAAAGATGAAACAAACATACTAGACAAACACTAATTTATACAAGGAATAATAAAAGGAAAACAAGATTATTATAAAATATGTATAATATGTGCAAAACTCAATATATATATATGCCTATGAGTCCCAGAAAACATTCTGTTTCCTGGAGGAAAAGATAAGCTTATTTAAACCAGTATAGGTAGTTTGATGTTACTCCTGGAAAACAAAGATTATCAGTACAAGATCCTCCGTAACTTGGAGGGCAAGCAGAACATGGTACTCCTACTTTATAGGGTGCTTCTCCAATCCAATTGCCCCTAAAAGAAGAAAAAAAAAGTACAAAGATAACATTAGTGCTATATTAGTGCCCATTTAAAGAAATGTGCTTGTCCTTAAGCATATGTCTGCATGGATTGACATGTAATGATCTTTTTGAGAAGTTTGTCAGTTTAGAAAGGCAGTGAAAATTATATCCATTTTTTTTTCTTTCTTCTTTCTTTCTTTTTTAAGATTTCATTTATTTATTTGAGAGAGGGAGAGACGGGGAGTGAGCATGAGGTGGGGGAGGTGTGGCGCAAAGGGAGAGGGACCAGTAGATTCTCCAGGGAGCAGGGAGACCCAGGCTGGATCCCAGGACCCTGAGACTATGCCCTGAGCCCAAGGTAGACACTTAACCCACTGAGCCACCCAGGCATCCCTCCATTTCTTATTTATACAGTAACTTATTTTTCTATATATCTTACTTCTTAAATATTTCTCTCTGCAACACTTAGTATTATCTTAATTTACAGATAAGACGTGAGGCACTACAATGAATGATGACATAATTAGGCATCTGATGCCAGGCTCAATGCTCATTCAGTCACGACATCTGTTTCTGCCCTGTAACTGCCTTCTAGAGCACGTTGGCAGGACACACTCCCATTTCTAAACTCCTGCTAATGCTAAGGATGGTAATATATACATGCACTTACTATTTTCTGGGAGGCTTAGAAATGATGAGATGAGCAAGAAGTTGTCATGGTAAGAGATTAAGGGCTCAGGGAAGCAATTAAAGGTGATTTCAAAACCTTTACCTATGTGTAAACTCATAGCTTTTGTTTTTAGTAATACTATTTGTTTTTTGATAATGTTAAACACTGTGTTGTCAATCTTTTCATCTGTATTGATGGCCATGATCATAATAATACATCAAATTCATCACTTAGAATAGTCGGAAATAGCTACAATGTCTTACTGTTCAATTATGAGGGAGGAGGTAATAGATGTATTTTCAATAGCACGGTGATTAGCCCTAAAAATAGCAACATGGCCGCATTTTGAAGGAAACTGAATGGTCAGGAGGAAATTTGGTTGTCAGTAGTAAAAAAGTCAGGGTTGAAGATAAGACAACTGTAAGAAAGAAGCTAAAATATGAAACAGGTGGTTCTCACCTTTACAACCTGAAGAAGCCCAAACAGTGACTCTTAAAGTGAATCTACATAAAATATCTGCTGAAATCAGTCAGTTAAAAATTCAGGATTTGGGATGCCTGGGTGGCTCAGTGGGTGAAGCATCTGCCTTTGGCTCAGGTCATGATCCCAGGGTCCTGGGACTGAGTCCTGCATCTGGCTCCCTGCTCATCCCTCTCCCTCCACCTGCCCCTCCTGCTGCTTCTGCTCTCCCACACTCACTTTCTGCCTCTCAAATAAATAAATACACACATAAATAAAATCTTTATAAAAATTAAGGCTTTGATCTACAAAATATTTATGGAGGAAAAGTTACCTATAAAAATGAAATACATGCTGATTAGCGATTCATATAACAAAACGTCATCAGATTCCAAGAGCACCCACCTCCATTCAGTTTATTCTATACTCTGCCCTCTGGATAAGATTCCTTGAGTTTAATTTGGATGACACATGCTTACTCCAAAACACTCGAGGAGGCCCTTTCTCTTATGAGTGTAACTCACTCCTTTATCCTAATCTCTCCTATTCTATATTAATAATCTTATTTCCCTCTATATCTTTATCCAAAGCCCACAAGTGCATATGGGCCAGCCTATGCTCTTTTAATTTCATATTTTTCTATTTATTCTACATAACTTTTTGAAATTACACAGCACATATTTTTGGTAACATAAGCTTAGAAATACATTTTATTATGCGTCAAAAGTATTACGTATTACGTTACAAACTTTTACATAAATCACAGATTTTTACTGAATAGAGGACAATTACATTCAGAAGTAAATCTGTCAACCAATGAACTTATATTATTTATCCTTCCATTTTTTGTTCTATTCCATCTAATTAAAATTCCCTTCCCTCCCTCCCTCCCTCCCTCCACCTCTCTCTTTTTTCCCCCTAAAAAACAGACTTGAGATAACTTTATATTGGCATTGGAAAATTCACACTCAAATAACATTCAAGATTTTAAAACTTTTTTCATTGCCTTGGTTTCAAAATAATGGTTCTTTTTTACAACAAATTAAGCATTTTAACACAATATCTTAATCTCTCATTGAAAACAATCCGATATCCCATCAATAATAATATTAGAAAAGTCGAATCAATGTTTAAAAACAAAACAGCTAAACAAATGAAATAAAAATCTCTTTCACCATATGAGTACTACTTGGCCTATTTATGTCAAGAAGAAGGGTAAAGTCTTAATAGGAAAATATAAAGTATGAAACAGAAAATATCAAGCAAATGCACAGTTTCAATGTTTTTTGTAATGCAAACACATTCTACTTTCCAAACCTAATTATTCCAATAATTATGAAGGGGCACTATGGGGAAAATCGCTATTTTTCTAACTTTGCAAAAACACTGCCACTGGCATTTTACCATATAAATGAGTAATGCAGTTATTTGTGAAACATTTTCTCATTCCCTCCCCATATTGGCAAAGCTGGAGAAAATCTTTGTTTGGGACTTACTTTGGAAGACACCAAGAGTGTCATAAATCCTTTTCCACATTTTGCTATTTACTCCAAATGGGAACAGACTCATGTATAAATATTGGAACGTTTTATCGTCTCAAGAGTTATTGTTATCAGGAAGGCATTTTATCAAATGTTAACAAATGCTTATTTATGCTCATTTTATAAAGAATATTTATAAATATGGCTATGTTTTATAATCTTTGATCAATTTTCACAATACACTTTTATGTATGCCATAAAATATATATATAACTAATGAAAAAGTTGTTTTATTTTTCTTAGATTTATTTATTTGAGATAGAGGCAGAGAGAGTGTGCACACATGCATACAGGAGAGGGGGAGGGGCAGAGGTAGAGGGACAGAGCTAATCTCAAGCAGACTCCCTGCTGAGTGGAGTCCCACCCTGAGACCACGGCCTGACCTGAAATCAAGAGGGGGATTCTAACTCAACTGAGTCTCCCAGGCACCCCCAATGAGAAAATTCTAAATTTTCAATACTGAAACTTAAATCATGGCAAAGCTTTAATTTAAAAAGAAGTCACAGCATTTAAATTTTCCCTTCTGGCAGTGAATGACTCCTTAGCCATCTATAAAATTAGTAAACTACAATTTTTAGTTTTACTCTTAAAGGAAGAAGGACTCTGTTTTGCTTTCCCAGTGAAAAAAATAAGCCAACATTCTAGTACTGATAGCTGGGAATAGTGCAGTATTGATAAATTCCCTAAAAGATTCTTCTCTTTTTCTTTTTATAGAACAGTCAAAAGCCTGAAAGTACAGTATTTATTTTACAATTATTATGACTAAAAATGGGTGAAGGGAATTTAGTGAATTTCCATATCTCAAATTGTTTTGCTCACAATTTTAGCTGGAAATACCTATCTGTGAAAAATAACTGTTCATCTCATTATTTTTCAGGTATATGAGGTCACTGGAGATTTGAGGATTAGAGGCTATTATAATTAAATCTTATTCACATTAAAATAACTAGCAGACTGGAGATATTTAATATCATTAAAAGTTCCAAGAAGTAGAAGCCAGCCTAGGACTTACTTTGGGGCATAGTTGCATACCAGGTAAACTGCACGTCGCCACACAGCTCCCCAGACATTCATGTTTTGACAAGTATGAATTGCACATCCTACCCGATTGGAGGTGGCCCAAACCATCTGCAAAAATAACCAATACATCATTATTGAAGTTAAAGCTAAGAAAATGCATATTCCCCAAAAGAGTGAGAGCATTTTTGAAACTATGAATCAAAAATTAACAAGACCATTGAAATAACCTGTGTATAATGGGTGCACATGGGGCCAAAACATCTCATAGGACATCTGGGGTTGCAATCCTGAGGATATGGAAAAGCATAATCTTTCACCTCATCATACCATGGCTTGACCAACTGGAGAATAGAGCGATATCTAGATACCAAGAAAAAAAAAAAAAGAGAGAGAGAGAGAGAACTTAGAGTATAGCAGTCATAATTTATAGTGGACTCATATTAAGTTGTAAATTAATGGTTCTTTTTGCAGATTATTCATGATGATGCAGTAGCAAATCCATACCTCACAATTGCCACCATCACCTATTCCTCCAAGTAGGGCCAAGCTTGAAAAATGCCCAGGACTAAAGCAAGTGAGCCTATATTCGTTTAAGTATATTTCTGGTTGTTTCAAAAAGAAAAATGCAAATTTCAGGAATCTTCATCTTTATCCTGTTTTATATTGTTAAAAATTTCTCCACCAGAATTAAATATACAATTAAAAATTAGAAAAATAAATTGTAGTTGTGATACTAGAACTAAATGTGTTTTTTCCCTTAAACTTGATTCACTTTAATTTTAGTAATAGCACACCTGATTTTTCTCCTGTATATAGAAGAGAATGGGTCTTTGGAATCTTGGATGATGACATTCCTTGGTGGTGGAAAAGTTATCCTATCACTGGGAACAGACTTTCCCATAGTTGCACAGACATATATGAGTATAGATATATGCAACCATGGGAGAGTTTCATAGACAAGAATGGTTTCTGCCACACTGAAATAATTTTCCTGAGGTGGGAGAGTCAGGGTATAGGCTATTACATATGCCTAATCCTTTCAAAGATTCTATGACGTAAGCAAAGAATACAGGCTAAGAGAGGGTGTTCCAAGGGTGAAAGGGGAAACTGGTCTTATTAGGACCTTTTAACCAATTAAATAATCCTTGAAGACATCTGAAACAGTCCCAGGCCAAGCATCATTGCCTGACACATAGTGAGCACTCAATAAGTATTTGCTGATATTACTTGAAGGTGGTATCACTCCCCCTTGGGGTCCCTAAGTAATAAAATGTGTGGATAAACAGTATCAGTGAAACTGCTTCCTACCTTCCAGTTCGTACAGAAAGGTTTTGGCCCAAAAATCTCAGTAAATAAGAAGGTCCATGGTCCCAGATGCAAGTAGCTGCCCACGCCTCCGCAGATTTTGCAAGATTTTCATCCCAAACCTGTGAAGGGGAAAAAACCTTGAGCTTTACCAGTTTTGCCAGTAACTGACAAAAGTTAAGAGGAAGAAATGGTACTACTGTTTACTAAAGTTCTTTCAATTCTGGTTCCTTTGACTATTCTCACTAAAGAAAGCAAATTCAGACCATTGATATTAAAGGTTCTATAATGTAATATGATTATATCACAGAAAACATTACTGTTCTTACAGTGTCATCCAAATCTGAAGTCCAAAGATCAGTTTTAGTAATGGAGAGGCTAACAAAAATACCACATCCATCTAGATGTAGCTTGGGGACACATCATACTGACGACTGAATTTTTAATCCACCTGAGTCAACTGATTTTCCTAGAGGTCATCTTCATAACAATGAGGAGTGATGTTATTAATGTATCTTAAAAACTAATATCATCAAATTATTTATTCAAACTGATCTACCAAAATTAATAATGTCTAACATTATACCGCAATTTTTAAAGGTCAAACTATATTGTTGTGTAACGATTCCCAAGGAGCCTTCATATTTTACAACATTTGAATCTTTGGTAGTAATAATAATATGAGAACTAAATTTTAGTGTGTATGAACTAGAAACAAATTATGATCAAGAATAATTTGAACTATGCCACATAGGACTTCTATGAAACTATAGCATATTATAATTCAATTAATAAATTAAGAAAAATAGTAATTGTTCTCAAAAAAGGAAGTTGTTTAAATTGATAAGGGTGTTATTGATGTATAATAACTTTTATTTAATTGAAAAAAACTGTGGGACAAAATTTGAATGAGCCTTAGATTTAATAGATATTTATATTAGTTACCAAATAGATTGATATTTTCATTTCTAAAGCTGTATGGGGAAATGAAAGCAAGAATTTGTGGACCTGCCAATTATAAATCAACCTAAAATGGTAATCTATTTTATAAGATGCTTCTAGGCACAAAAACACAAAATAGAGAATATTTATAATTCTTGTAAATCAATATACAAAAAATGCATTCAAACATTTTCCCTAGTAAAAATATAATTTAGTAAAATATTTTTCTTCTCTGTGGAATGGTTTTAATTGAAGTTGATAGTTTGTATCATGACATTATTTCCTAAGTTATTTAAATATTTAAATATTATTCTAGTTCTCTGAAAAAAATTTGTCTGAATTTTGACTAGATAGTAGCATATGTTAGAAGGTAAGAACTTACATGAAAAAATAAGTGTCAATTTTATAATTACTCAAATTCACATGGAGCTCCCCATAGGAAAGTATATAGATGTTCTTCTACTGATCATTATTTTTCTGTTTTTCATAGTCTCCCTTATTTTATCATTCTTTGATGACTTTATCCTTCACCAGGTTGTATGGAGTTAAGTAAGACTCACCTACATTAGGGCTGATGGTCATGAGTTCACTTTGAGTTATAAGCTTTCAAGAAACTCATGAGACTGCTTGACTAGGACACTGAGAGGCTTAATTTTCCACAAGGGTGATGGGATACATATATTTAGTTAAGATAACAATGTATTTAAGGGAAGAGAACTTATTTTAGTGACTTTGAAATAAAACAGGCAAAAATCAAAATAATAGATGAACTTTTCCAGAGACACTTTCATCCCATGAAGCCACCTTCAATAGAAATTTGTTAGTTACTCCGAAGTTGTTTTAAATTAGGAAAGCAATGTCATCTTACATATACTTATCTAGAATTACATTAAGGTAAACATAAGGTTTGAATAAAATTAGAAGTATTTAGAAGAATCTGGAGCAATTCTATAGTGACAATGGCCACATCTTTTTTTTTTTTTAAAGATTTTATTTATTTATTTGACAGAGAGAGATCACAAGTAGGCAGAGAGGTAGGTAGAGAGAGAGGAAGGGAAGCAGGCTCCCTGCTGAGCAGAGAGCCCGATGCGGGGCTCCATCCCAGGACCCTGAGATCGTGACCTGAGCCGAAGGCAGTGGCTTAACCCACTGAGCCACCCAGGCGCCCCAACAATGGCCACATCTTAAGGAGCTATAACAAGACACACTTTTCTTAGTTACCCAGAATATCATTTTCCAATTTTGAGGATTAAATTAATGTGGCAAAACATTACTTAATGCCATTTTAGTCAGTGAGCAATCAATGTTATATACAGTATCAAAAATTGAAAACACTCTATCATGAGAGATTTTGTACTACAGTTTTCACAGTTACTTAGGTCAGACATAAGTTTTAGGAATTATTATTTCAAACTCCTCCTTTGTCTTATCTGTAAAAATTTGGGCAAAGTTTATCAACAGTACAAAATAAATTTATAATTAAAGTCAGAATATCTAAGGACTTGAATTAACTTTTAAAAACATTGGTGTGCCTGGGTAGCTCCGTCATTTGAACATAGGACTCTTGATTTCAGCTCAGGTCACGATCTCAGGGTCTTGAGATCAAACTCCAAGTCAGGCTCCACACTCAATGGGGAGTCTGCTTGTTTCTCTCTCTCTCTTGCTCTCCCCTTCTTCCCCACTCTCTTTCTATCCTTCTCTCATAAGTAAATAAATAAATAAACAAACAAATAAATAAAGTCTTTATAAAAAAGTATTTGTTTGGCTGATAGTGGATTTATCTAGTATTTATTCTTTTGAAGTTTTCTCAATGAAATATGGATTACAGTTCACTGAAGTACCAAATAGCATAATTAATTCACAAAGGAATTCCAGATGGCATGGCATCAAAAAATTATGTCCCCTGATGGGCTCTTAATTAATTGTAATCACTTGGGGAAAAATGCATCTAAGTATTATTTACATATTGAACTACAATGTATACTCAGATCAAGAACTGCTAAGAACACTATCTTATAGTCTTATCCTAAAATATAAGCACAGCATGGCACAGATAACACTGACCTGAAAATAAAAATCTTGTGTTCTAACCCTACTTATGCTACTAAGATCGACTATGACTGAAGACATGTCAATTATTTTCTCCCACTTACCTCATCTGTAAAATAAGATTGGATGAGGTCATTTCTAGCGTACCTTTCCTCTCCACTTCTCATGATTTAATATACCTGAGCAGCACCAGCATCAAAGCCAGTAAGATGTATGTTACATTGGTCTACAACTTGCTCAATTCTAGCCCTTTCCATTCCACAGAGAGGATAAAAGCAGATTCTTTTCAAAATAATTAACAATATTTAAAGCTGTTAAGAATTTAGAAGTAATTTAGCTTGTATAAGTCTATCTTTATACTCATTCATATATTTTAAAACTTAATATTTTAGGGGCACCTGGGTGGCTCAGTCATTAACCGTCTGTCTTTGGCTCGGGTCATGATCCCAGGGTCCCGGGATCCAACCCTGCATCGGGTTCCCTGCTCGGCGGGAAGCCTGCTTCTCCCTCTCCCACTCCCCCTCCTTTTGTTTCCTCTCTCAATGTGTCTTTCTCTGTCAAATAGATAAATTAAAAAATCTTTAAAAAAAAATAAACTTTATATTTTATATATCAGAAAGACAAACCATTTATCATACATATATAAGATATAGATGGATAGATTGATATAGAGTTGTATTTAGATCTCAATCTGTATTTATCTGAAATATTTCCACTCAAAACATCAGTTTGGATATACAGATGAATCCTTTATGTATGGCTAAAAGCATTTTTACTTTATTAAAATGTTGGTCACAAACCAACCAATTGGGGGGGAAAAAAAAAGATGAACCACAAAGTTCATTCCCAAAAAATATCTTACATGTACAAACCTTATTAACCATGATAAGAGATTTTGATTAAGAAGACAATGTATTTAGTGTTACTGATGCCTACATTTTTAGGCATGAGTTTCTATGTATAAATATTACAATAAAAATTTTGGGGAAGATGGTTATGGAGGAGAAGGGATAACCACTTTCTTCTCTCTCCATGTTTACTTTTAAGGAACTGAGGGGAGGGATTTCTGCCTGTCTCTATGTTCCTGAAGGAAGATGCTAGAGAGACTGATAGGCATGGCCTTGATCCTACCCCCCCCAGAGAGCTGGTCATTTTGACTCCCCTGGGGAGACATGGTCCATTGACCTTTGATACCCACTGCAGGAGAAGTCAAAGGGGCTATCCTTTTTCTTGCCTCTTTGTCCTCAAATAAGACTCACACTCATTCTATAGAGGGGAAGATCCACCTTGAGTAGGGAGCTCTGAAATTTAGGAATTACATCAATCACGTCAACTGGTGAAGTTAAGATCTACGTTTGCTATCTGTCTTTCTTCCTTGGTTACAACTTCCTGGAGAAAATGGGTATATTATTTATCCCCTTAAGATCCAGTGGTATTTAAATTTATTAATATGATGAGAGGTCTTTGAGGTTTGAAAATAGCAAGCAACAATAACTTTATTTAATAACAGTAGGAGATTTCAACAAAAAAATTGTGGCTATAGGGAGTGGCCCAGTGTGATCTTCTTTTTCCTAACCAGAATCTCTAAATTGTAGTGAATGTGGCCAAGTGCAACCATGTGAAAGAATTCTTACAACTTATGAAATTCAGGAAATGAAGATGTAAATTGCTTAAGCATTTAACTTAGCATATACATTTCTGGATGCTTGATGGGTAATATATCTGCTGAATTTTTCTAAGTATGTGCAGCATTTATTTGAAATTATTTTATTTTTTAAAAGATTTTATTTATTTATTTGACAGAAAGACAGAGAGAAGAGCAAAGCAGGGAGACCAATGTGGGACTCGATCCCAGCACCTAGGGATCATGATCAGAGCCTAAGGCAGACACCAAACTGACTCAGCCACCCAGGCAATTAGAAATAATTTTAATATCGGATCCTACAAATATAGCAACAGAAAAGGGCACACATGTGCATTCTATGGAATGCCTAGTAAATATGTAACATACTATTTGTTACCTTTTGTTGGAAAAACTAGATATCTGATACTTAGATTTTATTCAACCAGGTTGAACATCCTGTTATTTTTGGGTTTTGCCCTTCTAAATAGGTAAGATGAGTTCACAATA